GATTGAAGAGACCGAAAAAAGGGGGGGTTGTGAGGGAGAGAGACCCCCCCCGGAAGCCATCCTCACCGGCAAAGGAGGCCCCCAGCCCAGGAGAGGCCCCCCTCTCCCCCCGGCAGTACCTTAGAGCTCCGTGCGGCCCCACTCACCGCCGGGGTCCTATTCACGGCCCAGGCGTCGTGCCAGCCATGCGGTGGTCGGGAAGACTTCTGACCGGCCACCTACTTCATGGGATGCGCCGCCTGCCTCCTACAACCTCCGGCACGATCCCCAATGCCGGAGGCGCAGCCTGTGATCCGGCTGCAGGAGGGAGAGGCTGCAAGTCACGTGTGGAGCCTCAGACATGCGGCCCAGGTGATGCCTCGGGCGGGAACGCTGGCTGGCATCATCGCGGCCCCCAGGAGCAGGGGCCACAGGGAAGGCCCCATAAAGAGACAGGCCGCGGGGGGGAGTACCCACACCGGGGGTGCAGGGGCCACAGGGAAGGCCCCAGAGGGACCCAGGCCGCAGGGGGAGCACCCACACCGGCAGCCACCATGGGAGAGGGGGGCAGGGGCCACAGGGAAGGCCCCAGAGGGACCCAGGCTGTGGGGGGGGGGGAGCACCCACACCGGCAGCCACCATGGGAGAGGAGAGCACCTGAATCAGGAGTCGCTGGCCACGATCCACGCTGCAGCAGCTCTGAGGGAAGCCAGAAAGCCTCAACCTCCATCCCTCAAGCTGTGTAAATCTGCAGGCCCAGGTAAACAGGAGCAGCAGGACAGGAAGCTGTTTGCTGGCCCGAATCCCAAGTGGCACTGAGGTAAGACCTCCCCACACTAACTTACACAGAACATAATCCCACCCACACATACTTTCCCAACCACTCCCCTGCATCTATCCCCACACTCCTACATGTGCCCTTGTCTGCTTAGCTGCGCTATCTCCCAGGGCCTGAACCTTCAGCGTTATTTGGTAGGCCCGAATACCGCTCTCTGGTGAGAGGCCAGAGGCAAGGTACAGGGGCAGGGTGGTGGCTGGGGGGCAGGCTGGCTACATCATGCTGGGCCCCCCCAAATGCCAGAATATTATATTCCCTCGAGCTGTAACAGTCTGTGACAGCCTGAGGGAATGGAGGAGAGAGGGGCTGGAGAGATGCTGGGGCCAGAGGGAGCACTGACAGGCTCCTCGGCACAGGCCCCACCCCCAAACCAAGCCCCACCTCCAAGACCATGGTGCTGCAGAAAATGGCTGTCTGACCTCCAGTGACAGGTAGGTTTGGTGTGTGTGTGAACATAGCAGTCTGTGTATATATGGACTCAGCAGAGTCTGTGTGTGTGTGTGTGTGTGTGTGTATGTATGGACTCAGCAGAGTCTGTGTGTGTATGTATGGACTCAGCAGAGTCTGTGTGTGTGCATGGACTCAGAAGAGTCTGTGTGTGTGTGTGTATGGACTCAGCAGAGTCTGTGTGTGTGTGTGTGTGTATGGACTCAGCGTGTGTGTGTGGGGGGGGACTCAGCGGTCTGTGTATGTGGACTCAGCCGTCTCTGTGTGTGCATGGACTCAGCAGTCTGTGTGTGTGGGGGGGATTCAGCAGTCTGTGTGTGTGTGTGTGTGTGTGTGTATGGACTCAGCAGTCTGTGTGTGTGTGTATGGACTCAGCAGTCTGTGTGTGTGTGGACTTAGCAGTCTGTGAGTGTGTATGGACTCAGCAGTCTGTGAGTGTGTATGGACTCAGCAGTCTGTGAGAGTGTGTGTGCATGGACTCAGCAGTCTGTGTGTGTGTGTGTGTGTGTGTATGGACCCTAGCAGAGTCTGTGTGTGTGTGTGTGTGTATGTATGGACTCAAGCAGAGTCTGTGTGTGTGTGTGTGTGTGTGTATGGACTCAGCAGAGTCTCTGTGTGTGTGTGTGTGTGTGTGTGTGTGTGTGTGTGTGTGATAGCGTGGCGTGGACTCAGCAGGGAATACTGTGTGTGTGTGTATGGACTCAGCAGGAGTCTGTGTGTGTGTGTGTGTGTGGTGTGGACTCAGCGGTATGTGTGTGTGTGTATGGACTCAGCGGTGTGTGTGTATGTGTGGGGGGGGGACTCAGCAGTCTGTGTATGTGGACTCAGCCGTCTCTGTGTGTGCATGGACTCGGCAGTCTGTGTGTGTGTGGGGGGGGACTCAGCAGTCTGTGTGTGTGTTTGTGTGTGTGTGGACTCGGCAGTCTCTGTGTGTGTGTGTGTGGACTGGGGCGGTGTGTGTGTGTGGACTGCGGCGGTGTGTGTGTGCATGGACTCAGCAGTCTGTGTGTGTGTGTGCATGGACTCAGCAGTCTGTGTGTGTGTATGTATATGTGTGTATGGACATAGCGGTCTGTGTGTGTGTGTGTGTGTGTGTATGGACTCAGCAGTCTGTGTGTGTGTATGGACTCAGCAGAGTTTGTGTGTGTGTATTTACTCAGCAGTCTGTGTGTGTGTATGGACTCAGCAGTCTGTGTGTGTGTG